TCCTCCGAGGACGTCACCTTTGATGAGTCGGTGCCTTACTACCGTCTCTTCCCCTACCGCACTGCGCCCCTCCCCCCGCCGCCGCTCTTCCTTGCGCAAGGTCCTCCCCCGGTAGACCCCCTCCCCCCTCAGGGTCCTGCCCCGTCAGGTGTGTCGTAGGTAGATGCACTTGAGCCTGTCGAGGTTGTTGTTGACTCTGGTGCTGCTAGGGGTGCTGAGCCTGCGGGTGCCGGGTCTGGGGGTGCTGAGCCGGGGGGTGCGGGGCCTGGGAGTGCTGAGTCTAGGGGTGCTGAGCCTATAGGTGCCGGGTTTGGGGGTGCTAAGCTAGGGGGTGCTGAGCCTGGGGGTGCGGAGCCTGGAGGTGCGGAGCCTAGGGGTGCTGGGTCTGCTTCGTCGAGGTGGGAGCTACTCTCTCCGTAGGAGCTGCGCGAGTGGTTTGCCCGCCGTTGGAGCCGTGCTGCTGGAGCTAGAGGTACTACTGTTGCTGCTGGTCCTGGAGGTGCTCGTACTAGCGGTACTGGAGCTGCTGGGACTGGGGGTGCTGCTGGGGCTGCTGGAGTTAGTCCTGCTGGAGGTACTGCTGGAGCTGCTGGCGGTGCAAGAGCTGACGGTCCTGCTGGAGTTCGTTCTGCAGCAGCGGCTGGAGCTCGAGCTGCTGGGGGTGTTGGTGCTGGTGGTTCTGCTGGCCCTGGTGCTTCTGAGGGTGCTCGAGATGGCGATGTTGGAGTTGGAGGTACTACTGGTGCTGGTACTGCCGCTGGGGGTACTGGTGCTGCCCCTTCTGGTTTTGGAGGCGTTGCGCGGTTGAGGCCGTACTTCCTTCCGCTCCTTGAGCAGGTTCTTCGTCTCCCGCCCTCTATTGGTCCTGCTCCTCCCTTAGAGTGTCCACAGCTTGTCCAGTCGCGGTCACAGTTACAGCCCGCCTCCCCCCTACCTGCTCCTTCTCCCTACACTGGTCCTACTGGAGGTCTTGGTGAGCGTCATGAGCCCGCGTCTCGTCCTGCGTTGCCTGTTCGTGCTGCTCGCACTAGTGGTCGTGCTCTGCGTCCGCGTCCTCCTGCGGTCCCCGGCACACACCAAATGGCACTGCGTCCTTCCAGTGCTCCTCTGCGTGTCCCTTCACCGCCTTCTCCTGAGTCCTCTCTTCCTACTCTTGCTGACTTCGAGTCTGACTCTCTTTGTGCTGCCAGTCCTACTGTCACGCGTCTTCTGGCTACTGTTGTCACTGACCCTTCTTTTGAGTCCACTGTTGCGTCTGCCCTAGTTGCTGAGCTTGTCGAATTTGCTTCTCGCTGTCGTCTGGACTACGCTACTAGTCTTGTTGCTGAGTCCGAGTCTGTCTGTCCTCCGTCCATTCGGGGTGAGTGTGCTTTTGGCATGGAGGTCCTTGAGGACAAGAAGGAGGAGTTCCAGTTTTTTGGTGCTGTTTTTTGAGGACAAGATGACCACTCTTCGGGTGCTGCTGCACATAGCCGCTCAGCGCGACTACGAGCTTCACTCTCTTGACTTCAACACAGCTTTCCTGCAGGGCAGCCTGCACGAGGAGATTTGGTTGCGCCGCCCACCTGGCTTCACTGGGTTGTTTCCTCCTGGTACCAAGTGGAGCCTCTGGCCGCCAGTCTACGGTCTTCGCCAGGCGCCTCGTGAGTGGCACGACACATTGAGGTCTACACTTGCGGCTCTTGGGTTTGCTCTGTCGACTGCCGACCCGTCGCTGTTTCTGCGCACCGACACCTCTTTGCCACCGCTCTACATCCTCGTGTACGTCGATGACTTGATCTTTGCCACTGCTAACACTGCTGGACTCGCCCACGTGACATCCGAGCTGCAGAAGAGACACACGTGCACAGACCTGGGTGAATTGCGCAGCTACCTTGGCTTGCAGATCACCCGGGACAGAGCACAGCGCAGCATTACCCCGACGCGCGGCCTCCCAGGGTGCCAAAACAGGCGGCAGAAGGGGCGGCGCTCGCCCCCCTCCCCCAGGTCGCCCCCCCCCCCCTCAGGTCGCCTCGATAGGTGACGGGAAAAGGGGGGGGGGGGGGGGGGGGGGGGCGGTGCACGTGCCCCCGGTGCGCCGCGACTGGCGATGAAGCATGGCCGGGGCGGGGCCAGGGCAGGGTCGAGGAAGGGCCGAAAGAGGCGGCGACGGGGCCGCTGGAGGCGGCGACGGGGCCGATAGGGGCGGCGACGGGGCCGCTAGGGCTGGCGACGGGGCCACTAGGGTCGGCGACGGGGCTGCTGGCGGCGGCGACGGGGCCGATAGGGGCGGCGACGGGGCTGTTAGGGGCGGCGACGGGGCCGCTGGCGGCGCCGACGGGGCCGATAGGGGCGGCGTCGGGGCCGCTAGGGTCCGTGACGGGGCCGCTGGCGGCAACGACGGGGCCGATAGGGGCGGCGAAGGGGCCGCGAAGGGGCCGCGAGGGGCCTGAGAGGTCGGCGACGAGGCCGCTGGCGGCGGCGACGGGGCCAATAGGGGCGGCGACGGGGCCGCGAAGGGGCCGCGAGGGGCCTGGAAGGGCGGCGTCGGCCCGCGAAGGGGCCACGAGGGGCCTGAAAGGGGCGGCAACGGGGCCGCGAAGGGGCCGCGAGGGGCCGAGAAGGGCGGCGACGGGGCCACGAGGGGTGGCGACGGGGCCACTAAGGGTCGCGCGAGGGGCACGCCACGGGGCGTGTAGTACACAGAGTAGCAGCGGAAGCAGTTAGGTGGGCCCACAGGCCAGGAGCGTAGATGCTTTGATAGCATGTTAAGAAATGAGGAATGAAGAAGAGAGGAGGTTCACTAGCAAACATTGGGATACATATAGTAAACCCTAAAAGGGTTGAACTCACTATAGAGTACCCCACTGCAAACTAGAGAAACATAATATTCTGACACGCATTAGTGAAGATGACACTTGGGTGCCATCTGCCTCGCTTGAAGCATCCCCAGTCGTTGGTGATAATCTCGCCCGCGAACGAGCTGCGGATATTGACCACCACGAGGGGGGGTAGTGTAAGGAATTCTCTTGAATTCCTTATCGGGCTTGACTGCTACACGTACAACATTGATTTTCAGACTTGCACGTGATCGACATTTACAATGCCGAGGCTCCTCGCGTCGCCTTCGGCTTTCTGATCGCCAAACCAGCAGCCAACCTCAATCCTTGAGATTCCCTCCTAGCTAGGGTAGTCACTATATAGTTGCGTGCCTTCATTGTATTGTCAGTTCATTAAGTCACATCTTCGTTATTCGTGATCATGCGCACCCCTTTTTTCAACTCATAACAACATTCCTTTTGTTATGAATATAATTGCAGAGTGCGCAGAATATTGAATATAGAGAATTAGAATTACAGAAAGATGATACAATGAAAGTGATGAGGCATAAAAAGGGGAAAGCCTTGCTAGGCGGGGAGGTCGGGAAGGGATGGCTCGGTGATGTTGCGATTGGGATGGGGCTGACTTGGGAGTGGTTCGGTGCGACGAAATAGGCCAAACAGGCTCGACGCGTGACCCTCGGGATGACCTCACTAGCGAGTGCCTCAGTAAGGATTTGTATATCCTTACACTCTCCCACCTCCTAAATAAGGCAACCTTGAACGGAGAAGAAGCCTGCCCTAGCAAGGATGCCGTAGATCTCCTCTTCAGCTGAAGCCGACGGTTGAAAAGGGGTTTTTATACGGGCCGTCACAAACATCTAGGAGTTATCACGAGCACTCATATGTTCCGCAAAAGTTATCACGGACAGTCACAAAATCCGCCAAATCTATCACGAACCATCACACGGGTATCACCCGCCGTCACTTAAAGCCACTAATTTCTATCACGGGTAGTCACACTTGAACCCTGTCATCATTTCGTTGACCCGCCCTGAAACACTGTACAGATTTGGGTACTTTTTTTCGGGTCCTGGTTTTTGTCCTATATACGCGACCATTTTGACTGCAAATATACCTGGTTACGTTCGAATCGTCGTAACAAAACATAACGGTTCACAAATTTTATGAAAGAATTCGAACGCATATATGTATAGCTAGAGTTCACAATTCATTGAATCTGCCTAAATGTTTATCAAAATGTTAAACAATCCATAACTAGGAACGCTCAATTTAGGCTCCGTCATACAGCGGATAGAGTATACAAATCTAGAATAATCTTAGCGTAGTGCTGTAACACTAGCCTTCAATTACATACTATAGAGATATATTAATCTCATGCCAGCGGCTGGCAGCCAGCCTATCTCCACATAGTTTAAACACGCAGGCATTGTATCACAAGGGTTTTGCAAACCATGTTGCACAAACCATGCTTTGTACTGCAAATTTCGTTGTCGATGTGTTGAGTGTTTCCTTTAGGAAATGTGCACAATATGAATACGCTACCAGTGTTACGGTATCCTAAAATGATGCAAGCACTGCACTGCATTGTTCAGTAACATTAATTTAAGGTTTCTAACATTTAAATAGTTTCCCAGCCAATGTATGAACCTGCCGGATGGACACGCGGGTGCCCACAGTGGACGATTCACTGCGAGTGGTGGTGATGACGATCTTGCTTCTGCTGCCATACCCACACCCCTTTTTGGCTGATCCACACCCACCCCCTTTTCTTGCTGCCCCTTAACCAGGGCTTGTTTTCCTTGATGCTCCACACCCACTCCTTCTTTCCTGCTCCATCCCCACTCCCCGTCCATGCCCTCTCTCCTCCTTTACTGATCCATTGCAACTCCTCCCTCTTGCTGCTCCACACCTACTCCTCTCCCTCAGTGCCCAATACGCACTCCTCCCCCTTCCTGCCCACACTGACTCCACTTCCTTGCTGCTCCCTACCCACCCACTCCCTTGCAGCAACCCGCCCACTTCTCACCCTTTCTGCTCCACACCTGTGCCGTTCCGTGTAGCCACAAACCCACTCCTCAGTCCTGATGCTCCACACCTGTTTCCCTCACTTGCTCGTGTGCACCCACTCCCCTCCCGACTACAGGGCGTGTCTGCTTCATACCTTCATGCTCACCACCTTCACCCCACCAGCGCTGCTGCATTCCCACAAACCTGTAGCGATCCATATCCACTTCCCTGCCTGGCTGCATCATTCCAACACCCCTCCATTGCTGTCCCGTAGCCAGTCCACTCCCTTGCAGCCCCATCACCCCTCCCGTCCCCTGCTGTCCCGTAGTCACCCCACTCCCTTGCTGCCCCCCCCCTGTCTGCCCCATTCCCAACCCACTCCATTGCTGCCCCGTAGCCAGTCCACTCCCTTGCAGCCCCATCACCCCTCCCGTCCCCTGCTGTCCCGTAGTCACCCCACTCCCTTGCTGCCCCCCCCCTGTCTGCCCCATTCCCAACCCACTCCATTGCTGTCCCGTAGCCAGTCCACTCCCTTGCAGCCCCATCACCCCTCCCGTCCCCTGCTGTCCCGTAGTCACCCCACTCCCTTGCTGCCCCCCCCCTGTTTGCCCCATTCTCAACCCACTCCATTGCTGTCCCGTAGCCAGTCCACTCCCTTGCAGCCCCATCACCCCTCCCGTCCCCTGCTGTCCCGTAGTCACCCCACTCCCTTGCTGCCCCCCCCCTGTTTGCCCCATAGTCACCCCACCCGAATGCTGCTGCATAGCCACTCCTCTCCCTTGCTGCACCAATCCTGGCTGCACCATAACTCCTCTCCCTGGCTGCCCCACACCCACACTTGTCCCTGGCTGCCCCACACCCACACTCCTCCCTTGCTGCCCCACACCAACACTTGTCCCTGGCTGCCCCACACCCACACTCCTCCCTTGCTGCCCCACACCCACACTTGTCCCTGGCTGCCCCACACCCACACTCCTCCCTTGCTGCCCCACACCCACACTTGTCCCTGGCTGCCCCACACCCACACTCCTGGCTTGCTGCCCCACACCCACACTTGTCCCTGGCTGCCCCACACCCACACTCCTCCCTTGCTGCCCCACACCCACACTTGTCCCTGGCTGCCCCACACCCACACTCCTCCCTTGCTGCCCCACACCCACACTTGTCCCTGGCTGCCCCACACCCACTCCTCTCCCTTGCTGCCCCACACCCACTCCTCTCCCTTGCTGCCCCACACCCACTCCTCTCCCTTGCTGCCCCACACCCACTCCTCTCCCTTGCTGCCGAACACCTCTCGCCGTTCCACGCCTGCCATTGCCTCTCCCAGCACGCCCTCCAGCTTCGCTGCTCCCCCTACCCCGTCTGCTTGTTCCTCTACTTCGTGGCAGCAATGGTTCCTCCTCCTGCGGGTCCAAGCCACTCCCCTCCATGCTGCCAGGGTCGACAACTTCCCTCGGAATCTTTAGACACTGCAACCGCCTCAACCTCCTAGCAGCGACGGACTCTCTAGACCCCCTCCCATGCATCACAGCAGCACCAACGGTGTCATCCCTGCAGGGCACCCCAGAGTCAACTACTTCCATTTCCACTGCAGCCGAACTTTCCAGAGTTCCCACTTGCACAAGATTAGGGGACTCTTCAACAACAGGCTGTTGACCTTGACCCTGGTTGCCCTCGGGGGTCGTGGCAGTAGCTTGTGCATGTATTTCTAGCCCTGCGTGTGACCGAGTGAAGATCACATGCGCCACGTTACCGCCCTCAACATTGTCTTCATCCGAGGAATCATCACACACCTCATCAGTGATATCCTCAAGTTCATCACCAGAGGAGCCCTCCCCATCATCATCTTGTCCCGTCCCCTCACGCCTCAACGGTTCACAAATCACCTCCCTGCCATGTCGTCCTCCGCACGCCCTGCATGAGATCGTGCGGACGGTCCCATCAACGCTTGTCACCGTTTGGGCATGCAACTGCCCTTCAGGTGTCATCAACGCCTCCCACATAGCCCTACTAGCTGCACGCACTTCACATGTACGAGAGTTGTGGCCGTATTCCGAGCACTTCTTACACTTGCGCAATCTCTTGGGATCGAGCTCACCATGCGATCGAAGCCTCTTCTTGGGGGGGCGGCCTGACTTCTTCTTGTACTTTGGAGGCAGTGTGGTACCATCCGGCTTCACACTTGTAGGGTCGATCAATTTCCAGGGCGTCACATACACTTCCTTCAGGGCCGCCACAGTGTGATACTTGCTGATCATCAGAGCCCTCTCCCCATCCTTTCTGAAGACCGCGAACATATGGACGCATGGCAGTCCGTATTCTCTGCAGATAAAACAAAATGGACACACGAGGGCAAGACAAGATAGAGCAGATCCCTCCAACCATAGGTAGGTGATCGTACGTTGCATGTATGCACATGCATGTGGGAAATGTACATTGAGCCGTATGTTAAAACAAATATGAACACAAATTTTATATAGACAGGCAAGATGGGCAACTTGAACTCACTGTGTATAGTTGCAGGAGCACTTGGTGTTGTCCACCTTTTTCGGATCCGTTGTCACGATTCTGCTCTCCGTCTCCCCCAGCTCAACCCTGTACTCGTTCTCTCCCGTACATGACACCACATAAGATCGGCTGCGGTCCCGGTTTGCTTTGACAATAAGCCCTGTCTTTGTGGGTAGGTCGGAATCAGTCAAGGCAGAGTACGCTTTGCGCCTCTTTTCCATTATTGGGGCGAGTTTATATGACAGCCTCAATAGCACCTGTGGTGCGTTCTTCTCTCTCAATCCAGAGAGCGACGCATGATGCGACTCAACTGGATTTGAGGAGTAGCAGCCGAATCGGGGTGCACTAAACTCGGTTGTTGCCCACTTCATGGACAGTGATTTGTCCACGAGATATGCTACCCCCCCAGGACATTCCTCTTCGATCTTGGCCATGTGTCCAGCATGTACAGCGTCAGTCAAAGCTACGGCTGCTGCCAATATCCGACCATCGAGGTCTGATCCGAATTTGCTTTTGAAATTCCGCACTAGATGGGTGATGCAGTATGATTCCCGAATCAATGGCAGGCATCTCGCGGTGGCTGCCTTCCAAGCACCACCACGGTCATGCATCATGACGTAATCGGCAGAGTTCACTTCAGGAACAGCCCTCAGAAGCAGATTGAAGATGTAACTGCATGACTCCTTGTTTTCTCCCTCCACCCAAGCACAACCAAGTCTCACCAACTTGTGCTGGCTGTCAAGGAGACACAAGTTGAGGGTGTGGCCTGCCCACTGGTTTTTGTCATGACAACCGTCAGCAAATATGATTGGCAGGCAGTTCTCTAGCATCTTCCTCGCACCCGGGAAAATGACCCCTGCTCGGAAAAAACGACCTCGTTTTTTCTCCATGGATACCACACTAGTGGGGTTCTTGTCTTCGAAAATCCTCAAAAGGTCTTCCATATACTGAAAGCCCTCATCCCCCGCGAATGCTTTCTCTAGTCTCACCTCAGCAATCACTCCATGGGCTAGAGCGTACGAGCATGACACACCCAGTACTTCTGAAACCCTCTTCATCAAGCCCTTAGGTTTCACCTCACTATGACTCATGATGTCTCGTGCGATCTCTTTTACCTCGTCTCTCCGCACACGACCGGGACCAACCGTACACTTGTCCGCATGACGCAAACGAGCAGTAGTGACCCTAAGACAGCTTGACGAAGGACCACATATGATAACACGGAAAGGGCAAAACCCTTCAGGTGCTTTAGTCTCATTGACAGGCCAACGTTTCCCAGCCATGGACTTGCACCATGCCTCGATGCGCGTGGAATTGTTCCTCGGGAAAATCGGCTCAAACATATGCTTTCGGCCATATCGGCGCACCTCATCCCTTGCGGTGTCCACCGAGGAGTAGACTTTACCCAAAGTGATGTTGACATCAGATTCGTTCTGCGAGGCAAATGCTCTTGAGGGCAGAGCGCATGAAATAGGGACACAAAGGTGCACGTTGCATTTGAGTTTCACGGAGAAACATACGCGTATTACGTCCACACACATGGTTGTATGATGTACAAGGAAATGACAGCTACTGTTGACTACCCAAACAAAACATGACCTTACCGTTTCCGTAGGAAAGTTAACATGGCAAGTGCGCTTAGAAATCTGCGAGCAACAATACAGACGGGGATTGAGTCACAAAAACAGAAAATCTGTATCATAAAAAGGGCATGCGCACAGTGTAAAAGGGTAATCATCACAATGGCCAGACTTTGGCGTCGATGTAGAGCCTTACAGTCACGCCAAGGCAGCGCTAGGCTTTGGCGCCAGAGCAGCGCCGGACTTTGGGCCCATTGGCGCCAGAACAGCGCCAGGCTTTGGCGCCAGAGCAGCGCCGGACTTTGGCGCCATTGGCGCCAGAGCAGCGCCAGGCTTTGGCGCCAGAGCAGCGCCGGACTTTGGCGCCATTGGTGCCAGAGCAGCGCCAGGCTTTGGCGCCAGAGCAGCGCCGGACTTTGGCGCCATTGGCGCCAGAGCAGCGCCAGGCTTTGGCGCCAGAGCAGTGCCGGACTTTGGCGCCATTGGCGCCAGAGCAGCGCCATGCTTTGGCGCCAGAGCAGCGCCCGCCATTGGCACCAGAGCAGCGCCAGGCTTTGGCGCCAAAGCAGCGATTTACTTTGGCGCCAAAGCAGCGTTCTACTTTGGCGCCAAAGCAGCGTTCTACTCTGGCGCCAAAGCAGCGTTTTACTCTGGCGCCAAAGCAGCGTTTTACTTTGGCGCCAAAGCAGCGTCCTACTTTGGCGACATGTATCAGCCGTAACAATGGCGACGTTAGTGCGCCTTGGACTGCGGGCCAAGGATGCGAGATTATGGTGCCTGAATCGAACCCGCTCTGGTACGACGATCAAGGCTTACATAAGATAGTAGTTCATGAAAGATAGGCTGACATTCACTTGGAACCCTAGGCCATAGATACGATAACTGATACTACACGCACCGCTTACAAAGGTGTGCTCTAGATAAGTAGACTTAAGGGTACCTTAGTCGGATTAGTAGACTTGCTCCGCCCCCCCTTTCCGTCGAAGGCGCGAAACCCTAACTAGAGTCTGTGATGTGCGTTCGGTTGATCAAAACCTCGAGTTGGTTGATTGGTTTGTATGATCGCCCCTTTACAAAACCACTCAGTAGGAAACAAGTCTGTATATGTTAATTTGACTAATACGTTCTGATACCCGCCATGTTTCATGTTAATACATTGTTCATCGTACTAATTATATCAGTTTCTCTTCCATGAGTCAAATTGCGTCTCGTGTATATGCGTGTAGTGTAATCACACAGCACTCAAGAACTTATAAATCTTATTTCCACTTTGTTTCTGAACCATCACACGGGTATCACCCGCCGTCACTTAAAACCACTTATTTCTATCACGGGTAGTCACACTCGAAACTTTGCTATCACAGATGAACCATGTCATCATTTCGTTGACCCATCCTGAAACACTGTACAGATTTGGGTACTTCATTTCGGGGTCCTAAATTTTGTCTTGTATACTCGTCCATTTTGGGTGCAAAGATACCTGGATACGTTTGAATCGTCGTAACAAAATGTAGTTTAACAAATTTTATGAAAGAAATTGAACGCATATACATTTTGCTAAAGTTCACAATTAATTGAATCTGCCTAAATGTTTATCAGAATGTTAAACAATCCATAACAAGGAACGCACAATTTAAATTTCGTGACACAGCGGATAGAGTATACAGAAAGAGAATAAACAGTACCAAGTTTTTACGGACCATAACAATTCTATATAATGATAAACCATATAAAAAATCATAAAGCTTTATGACTATAATCAGAATGATCTGGTAGCAAAAATTGGAGAGACCCAAAACATCCCAGTAAACCGTAACAAAAACCTTTTAATTTTAGACGCCCAAGCGCACTATTAACAAAAATTTAAACAATTATGATTTACAGAGTTTCGGAAACCATGATCCATTATTGTCACATTCCGGCGAAATTATAATCGTAGATACCGTGATTGAAAAGCGAGAACCAATCGGAGCTGTGAAATCGATGTTGTGTATCAATACCTCACGTCGTTGGTATAATTTGAGTATCAATTATGCTGGCCTGGTGCAAAGATGCATGGTTACGTTAAAACGAATGTAACACATAGCTGGGAAAAAAATATATAGTGAATAGATCGTAACGTACATCAATTTTGCTAGACTTCACAATTCATTGAATCTTCCTGGATGTTTTATCGCATGTCATTACGTGATCTCACGATTGTACAAAATATGGTATATCATTTAGAATCTGGATGGAAATTAAACCCCTCTTCGCATGGCATCAACCCCAAAACATTATGCGACAGGGTGTTTAAGGTTGATGTCATCGCAATATCATGTCTTTTGGTAGGAGGATTATTT